TTATTATTATTGTTATTATTATTGTTGTTATTGTTATTGTTGTTATTATTATTATTATTATTATTATTATTATTATTATTATTATTATTATTATTATTATTATTATTATTATTATTATTATTATTATAGGTGGTTAGTATTAGTATTATTCATTGAAAACTCAATAAAATTGAAGTATCGTGATCGATGATGATGTTATCGTTTGCTATACCTTATTTAATAACTTAAAATTCCATATGTTCAAATTACAAATAATTATAAAATACTTACGTTTTAAGGTAAATATTTAATTTCATATTTTGATAATCTGGCACGTAGAAGTGATTACAATTTAATAAATGCTATATGATCGTAATCACTTTACTTTTCCTTTTAATTGATATTTACTCCGTTTTTCTTTATATAATATTTATTTATATTATATTTACCATCAATCGTGCACTTTTTAAATCTTCAGTTTTTCTTATTTAGTTTATTTATATATAAATATATATATTTTTAGTTTATTTTCCTATTAACTTTCCTACGCGTAGTCTTTTCCCCTCTATATTCGATTTTGCAGTACGTAGGAGGAGGATTCCTTATCCCTTTCAGCAAAGTATACTTTCTCCCATCCTACTTATTCGATTATCCTTACATTGTCAACTCAATATTGAATTGAATTTTTTCAGTTAATAAAGATCTTTATTTAATATTATTATTTTCTCCGGTTATTTTTCGATGTGCTCCTGTCGTATTCAGTTTCCTGAACATTATTATTTGATATTCTTTCAGATTCGTCGAATCGAACTTTAAAGTCATCATCGACTGCATTCGAAATGTTCTATAATTCGCAAATACAATCCCTCACATAGAATAATTACTTTTACATCGTACCGTATAATTATATTCCTAAATTTATATGTATTTTAATTCCTAGTAGTGTAAGTTTTATTTAAAAAGCTTTGTTTAAAAAGCTAAAATATTGCCAATTAAATGTTTCAATTTGCTATTATAATAATTAGAATTATTCATGTTATTTATTGTAAATAAATTTTCATTATTAAATTATTTATAAATTGTTTAATGGCTTTGGGTAAAAGAAAAATGTTGCGGAATTACTACGCAGTTTTACTCACAAAGAATTTAAAATGATAATTCATTCTTTGCAGTGCATAACTATAACAAAATTATTATTAAAAAAAAGGAAGATATGCTTTTAATTTTAAAGAACTTCTTTTTCAACTCTAACGCTGCTTTTACTTTGATATTAATGTCAGTTTTCCTTACATGGCACGTGAAAAAATGTAACAAGCAACACTTATGTGCTGCAATTCTTCCTTTTGAATTTTCTCTTAAGCACACTGCACCACTTTCTTTTTACCGTCTTAAATTATCTACACTTTTTACAACCGTCCCTTTTTTATTCTCATTATTTTTTTCATCTTACTTTCTTTCGTCTTTCGTCCAGTCAGAGACATCACACTACTCTTTTCACTTTCCTCTCATTCATTTCTTCTTACTCCTCCATTCACCTTCTTCTACATCTACGGCCTCGCTCTATTTTCTTTTTTTTCACATTTGCACTTCTACGTACAACGTGCTTACGTAGCTATTTCCTTCGTTGTTTCTATTTTAGTTATTCGCCTATTTAAGGTTTAATAGACTATATTATATAGTATAATAAGTACAATACGCAATAGTTACTTTAATATATTTTTACTAATATTGACTTGAATGTATATATAAAATTTTTTAATAAAACGACCAAAAAAATTGTATATATATATATATATATATATATATATATATATATATATAAAGTGCATATTCAAATTATTAAATGATTAATTCGTTCGTGCGTGATTATTATTATTATTATTTTTTTCTTTCTTTTTAAAAATGAAAATCATCGTTTAATAGGCAAATAAAGGGAATGCGATTAATCGATATTTTAACAAAGTAACAACGGTATTACAAGCTGAAAATAACATCCTTCCTTACTGACGTAGGAACGGAAAAATTATTGCCTTGCCGGCTCTTCCTTTCCCTTGATATCTCCCTTTAAAAACGTCTCTTTCCGTTCTTGTTCACAAGCCCACTTCCCCACGCCCTCGTACCTACTCCCGTAGCATTTTATCTTCCGACGCAACGTTTCGACAACGTGGGAGGGCAAATGCGCGTAAGGGCAACGTTGAGTTGTAACGGCGGTAGAGGAGGATAAAACGAGAGCATGTGTGCTTTTGCGCGATGGGTATGATCCATCAGGAGACTGTCGGGAAAAGAGGCGAGGAATACGATCTTGACGATCCACCTTTTCGTCTCCCATTTCCTTTATACATAAGTATCACTTCACTTGTTATAGTTACGTAGTATAGGAAATTTTATGCCTTGCGCACTGATGCTACAGCCACTTGTAATTGTTGATTTGAAAGTGTATTTTTGTTCTGATTTGTTTCTTAAAAACGTTTATATGCTAATGAATTTATCGCTACGATAATAAAATGCTAACAAAATTTAATCAATATATTTTTATATCTTAATATATCAATCATCAATTGTTATTTAATTACTACTACTATTATTATTTGCTTATAATTTATATTGGATCTACACAATCTACGTTTTTTCTTTCATATACTATCTTCTATCGTACGAAGAAATATTTATTATGTAAAAATCGAAAAGGTTACTGCTCGATGTAATTGATTTTACTTATTAATAACATGCATACTGTAATTATTATTTTGGATGGAAACGATAATGAACTATTTACATTGATTAAAATTATTTGTCAAATTCATTTAAAGGTGTAAAATGCAAGTTCTTATATAATACGAATTAATTTGCTCAAGACTGTATACAACAAAATTTCAGAATCTTTAACAATAAGCAATATTAAATATATATCATGCACAACTAATACTAAAATAATGTAAATTATTGCATAAACGTGAAATTAAATAATGAAATTTGCAATTAGAAAAATTAATTATTTAACATAATTTTAAAATGCTTGAGCAAGCGTCTATAATTACGTGTATTGCTTAAAAAGAAAAAAGAAAAGAAAGAAAGACAAAAGAACCAGTAAGATCACAAGTATGCGAGAAATCCGTGGGAAAAAGCAGTTTATTGCACTTGTCGAAATCCGTTTGCCATGATTCTTCAAACTGCACGTAGCCTATCTTCTCGCCCACTCTGCCGGTTTTGCTTTATTTGAAGCCGTGGGGGACCGTCTCGTTGCAGGTACCGAAAATTCCAAAATTTTATGACACCCGGCAGAATCATGGACATCGGCACAAATTCCCACGATTGCAGCAACATTCATTACTATGCCGCACCATGGAAAGAGCGTCTCGGTTAAAAACGACATTCGCGCGTGAAAACTTTCCCCACTTTTCCGCGGATCTCTCTCTCTCTCTCTTTCATACACATTTTGGGAACGTAGTATAATTGCAAGGAGGCTCAAGTCAGCAAGGGCGTAAAGAACGAGGGAGAAGAAAAGATGAATGGAATGAAGGATGCAGAGAAGGTGTGCGAGCAATTTCAGTTTTACGGGATGATATTGATACCCGTGAGACGGTACGACAAGTGTCAGTCGCACTTGTTACTGCGTCGGCAAATAGATTCAGGCAAGAAACGAAAGAGTTTTTGCATAATTCGGAAGAGGATGCGGCTGCAGGTAGAGCCGAAGATATATAATACAGATGGGACAATATAACCTTTCAATAAATCAACAATAAACTCTTTTTGAAATATTAAGGAAAATTACATTTAGACAATTTTACCTTTTAATATATAGTAATTTATAGTAATAACTATTATTTTTATAATGCACATGTTTATCTGTAGATACAATTGAATATATATATATATATATATATATATATACAAAGTATCTTTATTATAAATAATGTTAAATTTTAATGTAAATTGTTAGATTAGGGGTTGGATTGCATACAATAAATAGGAAGTATTTAATAAATGTTTAATATTTAATTACAGTATGCGTACAATTATTACGCTTTACGCGATTGGAAATTTTTTATTTCATCACTCCAAACTGGCAAACTATAAATTCCAATTAAAGTAATTTAAAGAATTAATTTGTTATATCTATCTATATTATATTTCATATGATATTTATTTAAATTTAAGATGCCTAAATGTCCGAATTATCAGTATTTTTGTATTATCACAAATACTTTAAATCCTTTTCTAAGCATAGATAACGCTGTTGGATCGGCTATGAAAGTTTGCAATTATTCTTTAAAAAAAAAAAAACTTTCGTATGATTAGGTACTTTTTTAAAAATGATTTATTTTCAGTTTAATAGATGTATTAGTTAGTTAAATAAATCAGCTCAAGTACTAAAATGATCTATTCATAAGAGAATTTTTGCATGCTTATACAAGTAGAAAGAAAATATATAGATAAATAATATATTATTTTTCTTGTATTTTATATTAAAAAGAGGAAGATAATCATGTATTATGAATATTGTATGCGATATAGTGATTAATTTGTTTTTTGCTTTATTCTTATTTCAAATTTGATTCTGTACGTCTAGTACGTCTATGCGCTTATGTAAATATAATGTAATAAATATTTAAATTGCAATTGTAAATTTATTCAAAAATTGCACGTTGAGGATGATCGTTAAAAAAAAAAAAGAAAAAAGAAAATCAATTAAAGCGTAAGAATAATAATGCAAATAATATTTCTCTTGTTGCGCTATTGTGTGTGGTGGAAAAGAAATCTGAATAGCGAAAAATTATTATTTATTCTCATTATGCTGTTCCTCCTAACGTGACTTAGTTGCACTCAGCTTTTTTCTTTTAGTACAAACAACGTTTAAAGCTCAAGTAATTGCTTCGCACGTACATATTAATAAATAATGGTAACTATAAGATTAAAGTACATAGTCGCGGTATGGTTGAGACGAGTTGAAAACGAAGTAAAGTAAACATAATATGTGCGCCTCTCGCAGACTTTGGCGAAACTACTTGTTATATTGAATGTCGAGTTTGTGTTTGCTTTCTAGACATCACGTGTTAGATATTTTTTATTCATTTATGCCGCAATGTTAGTTTCTACAGTTATTTAAAGATTATTATAAGCTGTACAATTTATAATAAAATACAGCTTAATGTTTAATGATTTGGACCGTGATAGGTGTTATATGTTTCTTCTGGTTGGATCAGTACAGTTTTCAAAAGTCAATGGTTTATAAATATAAAGTTTAAAAGTAAAAATAGTAATAAACGAAAGAAGAAAAAAGCATGCATTGTTTAAATGTATAATTACGCGTGTTTGGTTAATTCAAATCGTCGGTAAGAGAGCTCGAGTAAGCATTCTAACCTACAAGTAAAAAGTTATTTTCAATTTAATAAAGATGACTGAGAAACAAAAAGTTCTTATTTGTGGCGATGTCGAAGGACATTTTAAGCTTCTATTCTCCAAAGTTGATGCTATTAATAAAAAAAATGGCCCCTTTGACTTTTTACTTTGCGTTGGAAATTTTTTTGGTGAAAATAATAATGAATTAACTCCTTATAAGTTAGGCAATAAAACCATATCCATTCCTACATATATAATTGGTCCAAATAGAGAAACGGATATAAAACATTATCCAGACGTTAATGGTTGTGAACTATCTAACAATCTTACTTATCTCGGTAAACATGGACTCTATACGTCAAGTTCAGGACTTAAAATTGCTTATCTCAGTGGGGTCGAAAAGAATAAAAATGATCCTAAAGAGTGCACATTTAACGAAGATGATGTTTTAGCTTTAAGAAATTCATGCTTAATTGGGTGTCCCAGTTATCGCGGAATTGATATTTTATTGACTGCCCAATGGCCATTAGGAGTGACAAATGCGTTAGAAGACAAGCCAGAATTTGAGTATAAAGGGTCAAAATTAATATCTTGGTTAGCTACACATATTAAACCGAGATATCATGTTTGTGGAATAGAGAATATTCATTTTGAGAGATGTCCTTATAGGTATATCATCTATCATCATTTTTATTGGATTAATTTTGATTGTATAATTTTATATGGATCCGTTGTTTATAACTGTATTTTATTATAAAGCCATAATATAATTGCTTATTTACTTCCAGAAATCAAAATGAAAGCGAAGATGGACTCGATATAGCAACTCGATTTATAGCACTCGCAAAAATAGCTAATAGCGAAAAAAAAAAATGGATTTATGCGTTAAATTTGACACCAGTACAAAAGACGAGAATGTCTGAATTAATGATGAAAACAACCGATGAGACTATTAGTCCATATCCAGCATCTATGCTCCAGAATAATCCGGGCAAAAAAATGGAAGACAAAGCTCAATTTTTTTATGATATGGATTCTAATAAAGACGGGAAGAAGAAAACTAAACGACCTAAAATGGAATTTGATCAAAATAAATGTTGGTTCTGCTTATCCAGTCAAGATGTTTCAAAACATTTAGTCATTTCTACAGGCAAAGAAATTTATTTAGCTTTAGCTAAAGGAGGAGTTGTCGATGATCACTTTCTCATTTTGCCAATAATGCATCATCAGTGCTTGTCGACTTTACCAGATAATGTTAAAGAAGAACTGAGATTGTATAAGGTATTATTAAAGTCAACATTTTAATAATTCATATTAGTTTCATATTTTATTAGATAATGATCTTAATTTAAAATTTTTCAATTTTTAAGGAATCTATTAGAAAATATTATGCAACGAGCGATAGAGTTCCAGTTTTTTTTGAGAGAAACTTTAAGACATCTCATTGTCAATTACAAGTTGTTCCGATCCATAAAAATCAAGCACCATGTCTGAAAGAAGCATTTCAAGTAATATACATTTTTATTTATTAGTAACATTTTAAAATAATGCTGTAAAGTATAAATCAGATAAAAATAAGATAAATGAATGTATTTAATAAGCTTAATGATTAAAATAAGAAATGTGTGTTTCCAATAATATGAAAGAAAATTGAAATCATTGTAATCTTAATTACAGTTTTCTATAATTTCAATTTGACAAAATGTTCATAAATTAGTGCACATACTAATGGCGAACAGAATAATAATAAAAGAATATATTTTCATATCAATAATCCACGCACGCATGCATGCATATATACATTATTACTATGTACCATGAGCTTATTCGTTAGCTTCTTTTTTGCTTATTATTGTTTTTTGAAAAACAAATGTAAAACGAAAAAATACATAGCGCTTTTTGGTCATATATTTGATATTAATTCAATTTTATATGTAGGAAATAGGTGGAATTTATCACATTTCCATAAAAGAATTAGATGTAGACCTTCATGAAATTGCACCGTCAGGAACGCTCTATTTTTATGTAGAATTACCGGATGGACAGAGATTATTCTATAGGATAAAAAAAGACTTTCCTCTACAATTTGGTCGAGAAGTTGTTTGCAGCGATAGGATATTGGATATTCCTGATAGATTTGACTGGAAGGATTGTCAGTTAAGTAAAGAAGAGGAATTTTTATTGGCAGAACAAATTAAAGCTAAATTCAAACCGTTTGATGTAAATTTGTAAAAAGTACATTTTTGTTATATTTTTCCATAGATTGTTAAGCAGTTATTATATTTATACCTACATATATAATTAGTATAATTTATATATATATATATATATATATATACGTCCATAATTTTATATTTTTATTAGGGAAATATCAACAGAAAAATTGTATTTTAAAGAAAATTGTTAAGCGGTACTTATGTTTTTATCTTTATTAAGACTTATTTTATAGCTACAGCATTAATATCAAAACTGAATTCACATTAAATTATTATCTGTATTTATAATTTCTACAAAAATTGTAAAAAAATGTAAATTTGTTTATAAATTATATAAAATTCAGATATTGCAATGTGGCACTTATTCTTTGTACTTGCCCAAAGTCATTAAATTATTAAACTTGTGTACTTTTTATTAAAGAATCCAATACATCAAAGTCTTGACCTAGTCCACTGCTTCGCATTTGAACGGCAATATCAAAAAGGTAATCATAAGATTCAGTCCTGGAACAAAAGAATATTATTTCAAAATCTGGTATTAAAAGCTTAGTTTTTAACAATTTTCTTTGTTGTAGTAACATCGGAAAAGCTGGATGATAGACAATTTATTTTAGTTTCATAAGGTAAGTGTTTAGAAATAACTACAAACATTGTTTTAGCTTGTTGCCATGTGTCACCCCAAACATAAATTCCATGTCTACGAACGAGAACAGCGCAAGTTTCTGGATAATCTTCTATAACCTCATCCATACGACCTTTCAAATCAGCTTCAAAGGGTGTGTTTTCTATAATTGGTACAACCAATTCTTCATCATATCTATAAGATCTGCCTAATTTTTGATTATGTATTCCTGCGTAAATAATTCAAATATTTATAACATATTAAAATTACATAAGCGTATAAGTGTAAATTGATGATTAAAGTAAATTATATATTTACCTTTAATCATTTCCAAATGTTTAATACGAAATTCATTTCCAGGCCAAAGAAGTGTGACCATGACAGCAAATTTCGAATGCGAATGAATAACGGCACCAGCATTTCTAGAAGTATAAGCAGACATAAATAATGGAGTGCATTGTGATTTTTTTAAGTTTTTTTCGGGTGGAGGTAATTCTAGATCTTTCCCTTCGATATCTTGAACAAACATTTCACTTGGCAGAATTCGTTCTTTTTGAACTCCTGATGGAGTAATGTATATTTTGTCCCTGAAAATATAAATTTTTTCTACAATTACCTTAACAGTAAAACCTATTTGTGTATATATATATATATATATATATATATATATATATATATACAAACAATATAGATTATTGATAAGAAATTTATTGTAAATTTAGTATGCATTTATGAAAGTTATCTTATTTATATGGAATGGCTGCTATCGCTCTATTTATAATTTTTTTCATTAGATTCTATTGTTTTGTTCTAGTGATATTATTTATGAAACTAATATAATAATTTATAAAATTATTATAATTAAAATCTTACTCATGTTTTATAGATATACCTCCACCAGTTCCTGTGACCCATCCAAGTTTATAAAATTGTCTACAAAGTTCTGGTATCAGGTTTTTTGGGTGTTCCTGAAAAACAGTAATAATGAATACAAAAACAATCTCAAATGCAAAGTTTAAATCTCAACGATATATGCTTTTGCACGTATTGTTAATTAATAATTATTAGAACAAAACTTAATAATAGAAAATTTGTTATATTATGTAACAATTTTTGTTTTGAAAATAAAGTTTTACCTTATCAAAATCATCATCGTAATAATCCATTTTGTACATTTAATATATTGCCGATTGTTTAAATGAAGCCGTGTAAACAGAAGTTTTTGCTATATTGACCTGCTGAAAAAATTCTTTTAAACGCTCATTTTGTAAGAAAATGTAACGATTTCAATAGCCGAAGATTATTAACAGGATAAATTATAAATCGCGACTCAATTGCGGCTTTGTGGTTTTTAGATACGGACATGTAGATAAGTATTTATCAGTAGATTAGTGCATAAAACTACACTGTGAGCCTAAATTCGAGCCTCGTCAAACCCAATTGTCAATTGTGTCTCAAGTAATTTGACGATCTGACCGACATGCCTGTGTAAACTGACTGACTCTTCCACTATTTAAATCAAAACGGGCTGACTCGATGTTTATTATATAATTATTATTTTAATAAATTTCGATTATCAAAAAATTGTCCTTGACTCTATTATGTAGCTTATCAGAAACGGAAATTCGCAAGGAAAATAAAAAAAATTCAATATTTTTATTTTGAAAAGTTAAAAATTTTAAAACTTCTTTTCCTCTCAATGTATCTATAGCGCATAAAGTACTATGATTTCTTGAAAAGTACGAGTTTGAAAATTGTAATTATGTCACTAATTTTCCTACCCTTTTACAAATTATGCTTGGATACGCGTGTGCGCGCGCGTGTGTATGTGGGTTTGCGTGTGTGACGTTACGTATAGGCGTTAAGCAAGAAAATTTAGATCATTTACGACCAAATGATACCAAAATTATTTAGTTATTTTGAAAAATCCCCAATATGGAAGGTCATAATAAATTGTTTTGCGCTTTAAATATGGTAGTACTCGAGAACAGAATTTAAAGGTACCAATAAAATAAAGGTTAGGCTAGTTGTAAAAAGAAACCTAATCAACTTAGGAGCCACAAAAATGGCGAGGTTAATGGAAGAACAGAATTTGATTGACATGAATGATGAAAAGGAAACATCGTGAGTTACATTATTGTATTAATAATAAATGTATTATAATTGACGTATAAGAAAATAATTTGTTTTAAATATGAATTTTAACTTTATCAATGTTACATCACAAATGTCAATAACCTATTTTTATACATAAGCTTTATAGGATTTTTATGTATTATAATAAACAATTATGTATATTAATTTTCAATTAATTGAAATTTAAATTGTTTACGTTATTCGCAGATCATATCAAAATTCTTTTAATTGGGTTGATATCACACAGGGGTTTTTTGAATCTATTACTGGTAAGTTTTTAGTTTATTAATTACTTAAAGCTTTTAAGAGCTTGGATAATTAATAATATGGATAATGAGTAGTTACTTTTCTTATTTTTCAATACTGTATATATTTTTTTCATATATAGAACTAGAACTTGGAGAGCTTTTACATGACGAACTGTTTGGACTATTTGATGCGATGTCTGCTATTGAAATGATGGATCCAAAAATGGATGCTGGAATGTTATGCAATCGAGGAAATAGCAAGCCATACACATTTTCGCAGGCTGCGATAACCGGAGTTATCAAGTTAGATGGTCTTTCGCCATCAGAAATTATAGGAATAATCGATTCAACTTATGCTTGTATAGTTTCATGGTTGGAGGGGCATAGTTTAGCGCAAACAGTCTTTACAAATTTATATTTGCATAAACCCGATCAAATTATAGATAAAACATTAAAAATATTTTGTTACGCAGTCTATAAAATTATTGAAGAGATTAGGGAATGTATAGTTAAAGCTTCGGTATACGAAGAAGAGGACTTCCAAAGTGTTATGTATGGAGGTTATAAGTTACAGCCTGATATAACGGAACAAAAAACAATTTCTATGTTGAGAGAAGTTGAAGAAGAATTGCATCGGAAAAGTCGAATAAAACCTGTTGATGACGAGACAGAAAGAGAGGTAAAGATAAATTTCGGATAAATTTCTTGAAATATTTTAATGCAAATACTCATATAGTATATCGAATAAATATCTATATGTGCACGCGCATAGTAGATTTTATTTAAAAACAAAAGTAATTCCAAAAAAATTAAAAATAAATGAAGAAATATTAATTTCATTGGAAAAAAATTGTAAAAAGTAAGAGAAAGATTGATAAAGCAGATTCTTAACTATTTTTAATATTTTTAACAAAACTTATGAAATAATAAAATGTATATCTTTCTTTTTTAAGTATAATGATGGATTGGCACTTTATGCTAGGATAAGATTTACAAAGATGCTCTATCAAGTCTTAACACTAATGGGTAGAAAAGAACAGTTACAACAAAATTTAAGTGGCTGTCAACGTCTTCTTTGTAATTGTTCGGATATGATTCAAATTATGATAAAAACAGTTAATAGAGGGGTAAAGGCCGATGAAATTAGTAAGCGACGATTAACATGAATAATCCAATTGGTATAATGGAATTGTTTATAACTTATTCATTCCATTTCAGCAAATCATCCTAATGTGATGGGCTTCGATCCAATGACTAACCAAAGACTTTTACCACCAACATTTCCAAGATATACAAAAATAAAGCCAAGAATCGAAGCACTTGAATATATGGATGAGCTTATAAACAGATTTAAAATAGTTACTAAAATTACTAGTTATAATAATTTCCATGGTGCTTTGGTAATCATCAATTTGTACTTTATATTTATTATGGCACTTTTAAAGTTTTTATTCATTTTCCTTTTTTTTGAAGGATTTCTTTTTAGAATTTTCACGACAAAGTCCGTGCATACTTTCAAGATCTATGCTACAAATTGTTTATTTACCTACGGCCAATCGTGTTTTCGGTGTTCATAATTTTTCAGATATTTTGAAAGATGCGGCAAGAAATTTTATTGCACCACCTGCTCTGATGCCCAAAAGTGTATTATTACAGAATCATCAAGCAAAAGAATTTGTCGATAATTTTTTAGGACATTGCGCTAATGTTTTTGGAACTCTGTTACAAACTAGTGGTCATAATAGAGCTCGACAAAGAGATAGATTAGCTTATTTATTTGAAAATTTTGCGAATTTGCAAGATGAGGTACGATAATGCATTAACGAATTCTCTTCTTCTGAATATTTATGTGCGTGGACAAACGACAATATTAAATTCGATATGTCGTTTGTACAGATTAATATTTTTGATGTATTGTTTTTACTACGCATCGCGCAGCTAATTATGTTGATAATATTTTTAGGCTGAGAGAGTCGATGGCTATTTACATGCACTGTCGATGAAAGGAGATAGTCCAAGGCCACACTTAGCATGTTTCGGCACATGGATTTTATATCATACTCTACGGTTGATGGTTATGTATTTGTTAAGTGGCTTTGAATTGGAACTTTATTCGGTTCATGAATATCATTATATATTTTGGTATTTGTATGAATTTTTGTACGTCTGGTTGGTATCAGCTATAACAAGAGCCGATACATTTATACTGGAGCAGGATATTCACAGCGAGTCGCATAAAGGCAGGAGTGGCAAGAAAAATGCAAAAAGTAAGAAAAAGAAAGCTACAGCCAGACCATATCATTTAGAGATTCTTATGTATCAAGCTCTGCAATATATATGTGGAGGTTTCTACAAGGTAATGGAAATAACTTTAATACAAATTGTTTTGTTTTGTTTTGTTTTGTTTTGTTTTTTTTTGTTCGACAAATTTAATCATACAGAATGTTCTAAAGTTCTAAACTGTCGATTAATTAAACTGAATTTGTATTAAGGCACTGGTTGGTTTTCGATTGGATGGCAGAATACCCTTGCCGGAAAATCAATTTGATTGCGAACGAGTACGATATGAACATCGATTGTTACCTTTCTCCTATTTATTAACACCACCACCTGTTAATTATAAAAAATTTATAGAGTATATGAATGCTCAAGTTAATAAAAAGAATGTGAGTCTTTTAATTAAATTTTTAGTTTTGAATGAAATGTATAAATATATAATATAAATATGAAGTGTAAAAATAAAACATTTTAATTATCCATAATAGGAGAAAGCTACGAGCGAATCTCAATATTTTGATGGTTGTCGATATTTTCATCAGGCTAAGAATATGCTAGATCGTGCGCTCGAACTTAATCCAGCTAATTCAAATACTGTGAACGAGGTAAATTTATATATTATCAAATATTTAAGTATTTATCAAGCCCTTTCAAATAATACAAAGATTTTCATCTTTTTCTTTTAACTCTATGTAATGAATTTTATGGTTGAAGGATTAATTTTTTATTTGCAGATTAACGATTTGTTAAAAGTTGCCAAAACTAATTTTATCGTATTGAAATTACTCAATGGCGGGCATAAAAAAGATTCCAAAGAGCCGCCAATCTTCGACTTCTCGTGCCACCAACACTTTCCAATTATAAAACTTACTTAAATCACTATTGCTTGTAGCAATATCGTTTTGCCAATGGAAGTTTGAATCATTATTTATTTTAGTTAAAAATAAATAAATAAATAAATAAATAGATTAATTAATTAATTAATTAATTGATAAATAAATAATAAAAAGAAAAGTTATGATAATCTCACAAAATAATAATAGGATTTTTTGTAATTTTATCGTGAGATACAGTGAATACGAATACATCATCCTTGGATCTCGGTATATTTCCAATGAGACTTAATGACTATGTGCTGTAATTATGCAAAATATCTAAAAAAATTTGACAATCTAAAAACAATACGTGTAACTTATAACAAGTGATAAAATTTATTGTTAATTTAAAGTTTAGTTAGTTGATTGTTAACAAATGTCTCACAAAAGACTCCCACGAACGTTTGATCTTCTTTTAAAAACTAAGTTTGTAAATATATTAAGATATGTAGTTATTACATTAATTGATAGCGACCAAAGTCGCATTCGATTCATTGAAAAACAGAAAAACAGAAAGAAAGAAAAAAAAAATAATAATAAAATAAATGAATAAATAAATAAAAAGGGGACTTTGTTGGAGGAAAAATACAATTTCTCCCCATAAAAATCCTTCAAACTACTTTATATGTACATTTTTTTTCTTTTTTTTTTTTGGGTCGTATTCGGCTCACATAACAAACAAATTTGTTTTTAAAACACACGGTGTATTTACGTTCGTATTTGGAATGTCGACTATGTACAAAAATTTATTCATCGTGCACTTGTAGATGTATATACTTTTAAAATTATAAAAAAAAAATAAAATAAAATACTGTATTTTATTAACAACATGACGGTGATTGATTGAAAATGTAATTCATTTTCTACAACATTTAATACAAATCATTTGAATTTATTCATATTGTACTTCATTTTTTTCATTCTCACTCCAACAGCTTTTAAAGGTTAAAAACAATTTATATTCTTTATTTAAATACTCAAAGATATATTATGGTTTTTATGTTTATATAAGTCAAATCGAATGTTTAAGTATAATGTTGACTGTAATAGAAAGAGATGTTATAAAGAAACCGAAATTGGGTGGCTGGAGAAACACAATTACAGGAGTTGAATATTTAAATGCAGATTCGCAAACTGGGCCACCGCCCAAACGAATACCATTGGAACAAACATGTAGTCGAGAAGTACAGACCATTATCACGACGGATCAAAATAACCAGTCGACTTACGAACAAGCCACGCAAATGTGGCGGTAAGTCGTTGCTTTTGTGCTTTTGTATAATATAGAATGATGCAAAAAGTGTTTTGACATTTATTGTAAAATGAATAAGAATGTCATTTGAAATATGACTTTTTACATACTGCCTGTGGGATACATTCGGTGCATCCTTTAATTTCACAATAGGCTCATGAGATCATGTATAAAATTTATACGAGCATATTTATTCATTGAAAAAAAGAACAAAAAAAAAAAAAAAACAAAAACAAAAAAATTGTTTTTAACGACAACAATAATTGAAAAAAAAAAAAAATTGTAAAAAGCGTTATATTACTACAAAGGTAAAACGTCTAACCAGAATAATTATTTTTTTTTTCTTTTTTTTTTTTTTTTGTTTTTTAATCCTAAATCGAATTCTGTGCTTAATGTTATAATTCATTGTATAAATATTGATGCTTATATTGTTTTTATTATTTTTTTTTCGTATGATGTACAACGACGTGTACATCTGAAAATAAGCAGAAATTTGTAAATCATTAACGATGTTAAGCGTCAATTTGGCGATAATTAAAATGTGTAGAAATATGTTATATATTTCTAATAAAATTTATTGTAAAAATAAATAAATATATTATATCAAAAATAAAAAATAAACAAAAACAAAAACACGAAATAAAAAACAAAAAAAAAAAAAAATTCAAAAAAACCAAAAAACGCCAAAGGAATGGTAATATTTACTAATTATTTTAGGCGAGACTGTTACATTCCGAGTATTTCGGATAAATATCTAACCGTCAAGCCTTATATGACCTACGATGAATTACAAAGCGAAAAGAAACTTCTTCTGGATGTCCATAGCAAAGCGTGTATCATTCAAAAGTGTTATAGAGCTTATAGAATCTTAAAGTTTATAAAGGCATGTGCTAGGCTCTACAGAAAACTGCGCATGGAATGTGAAGAACTGAGCAAAGAAAAGTTTTTGGAGATCAGGTATATTAAAAAGTATTTTTATATATACATACGGTAAATAAAAAAATTATAACATCGATTGAATATTAAATTAACTATAAACACTTAATTATAAAGAAGAATAATCATGTTGATTAATTTTATTAAAATTTTGGAGATATGATTTAAACTGCGCAATTATTTCCATATGTTTTAAGCCGAATTATTATCCGAATCTAATCAACATTTGAATATTTCTATTACTGCTATTCACATATTATTACTTTGAAAATTTTAATAATTATATTATTTGATACAAAAATCTGCATTTGTTTATATGTAGTTTAGATCGCTAATTTATCTTCATAATATCAGTTTATCTAGAAATTTGTTTTATATAATCAAACATTTATTTTTTCAAGCCATTTAAGTGCCTAAGGAAGTTTTCTTTAAATTCTCGTGATCCCAATGCTATGATTCGAGTCGGATTTTCAAAAAATATCGGGGGAAAAGATCGGAATGAGGTTGGAACGGTAATTTCCACCGTTACTATAAAAAAAAAAAAAAAAAAAAAAAAAAAAAATATTCAGGTGTTTATTCTGTATAAACTACATGTATATAAAAGAATAATTATATGATTGACGTAGTACCCTTATTTATTTGGCAATTCATCACTTAATTCGTCTGATAATGCGACTAAGCCTTAATAATTATTATTACATGCGCGAGCGTGACTCGTGATGTTTATAAGTTTAATGTCATTTACCATTTAAATTATTAGCGCACTTATCATTAAATTGGCTTGAATGAACACGAGGTGCGAATCAAATTCAGTTCGATAACTATTTCTATTACTTAAAATACAATGAGAATAATTTCGACGGGTAACGGTAATAGTGGGGTGGGAAAGGTTGGACACACGATAATTCGATCATGGAAGGAATTAGTGTGTGCCAATGAGAATATTCCCGAGGGTGAATGTAGAATATGGCCAGGTGAGGTGATATTTTTGTCTCACGTCCAGAAGTTTTGAATTTTCACTGTTTGTGTGCAATTTTATTTCTAAGTTAACAGTCAATAGCTATTAGTATTAATCTAAAAAGTAATTGTATATTGTATTAACATCATCAGAAATGAGGATAAAAAATTGGAAAATTTTTCCAAGAAAATAAATCGTATGTACATTGTAATATAAAGTGTAGAAATGTTTTTATTTAAACGTATCGTAAATCATTTAGTATTATTAAAGAAAATGTCCATTACATCGAATTGTTTACGAAGTCTTTTAAAAACATTAAGATTTTTTCGACAGAGATGAAGAATAGCGTATTCGATAATATCGATATAAGAGATTAAATGTTATATAACCGAATTGTAGCCAAACAGCATGTAGAACCGAAAAATGTAAAATACAATTGCTAGGCACTTTTCGGAGAATTGTATAAAATTTTCTATCATTTAAATTAACAAAACTTTTAGTTAAAGTAAGAGAATTTAAAAAATCGATACAACTTTACAGAAAAGTGTTTAACTATATGTGGTTTATTTTCTCCGTTGCTGTTGCATTTCTGGAATAGTGTACTACTACTCTTTGCTAGATTTCAAAGCTTTCATAATGATATTTGTTTTTTAAGTTATTTTGTATTTAATATCCAGCTGATATCATTTAAATATAATGCAATACATATTTCGCTAAAGATAATTAAAAAAAAAAAAATATTTTCGTTTAAAATTTGATCTCAAGACATTGATGAAACATTCTCAACATACACATAAACCAAAAAAATAGATACTTTTTTAATAACTAAATTTTTGTTTGTATAATATATGATTCATAGTATACTATCATTATGATAAGTTTTCTTCCCAATACTCTTCTTAATTAAATATCCTTATAGACAAATTCAGTGTTAAATTTACATTTATAATAAAATTGTATGTTTAAAAAATGTATTATATTATAAATATTATAATAAACGTAAACATAAAAATTTCATTTTCCTATATGCTCTTTTAAAAATAGTAAGAGTTCTCGACTCTACATGAGTGACTTCAAGTTTTGTTAAATATTATTTTCTTTCTTTTTTATGATTTTCAATATGATGTTTAGTCTACTATAATATTTATTTGATAGGTGTTCGTTATTAATAAGCTTCATACTAATGAAATTATTTTTTAAGTAAAGAGTATTTTCTATTAGTCCGTAAAGAATTGAATAATAATCGACAAATTTAATTTAATAGAGATGTATATAACTTTAATTGAATTATTTATACAATTACATATGATAATTTGAATTTATTAAGGATGGTGTGGTTTTATTATAAAAATAATACACGTATGATCACACATATACAGAGGTTTTCTCGTGGATAGAATATCAAATTAGAGTAGCTTTAAGTAATTAGAAGTTTAATTAATATAAAAATAGATGCTTTATTTGACAAATTTGATAATCAAGTAAATACGATATATATTATAAAATTTGACTAAAAATTAAAAAAATAAAAATTGAAAATTATAAATGTTGTTATAATTATATCTATCATAGCATTTTCTCATTTCATATGTTTAAAAGATGTTTTTAATATTGAATTAATTCTTTAATCTTCTAATATTAATTGAATTAATAATTAAACATTTCTTTTTTATGAAAACTAATTTAGTATTAATATTAATTATTTATCAAGAAATTATGTAAATTATGTGACGATTTTTTATTAAAATTATTTAACATAATTTAAAGTAAGCAGAATAGAAGATTCTAATGGTCTTAAAATACGTTTCGGATTATTATTAAATTATTATCGAAGAATTAAATTAATTAATATTTTACATTATTTTTATATTTAATATAGTATATGTATTTGTAGTCTCCAAGGCTGGTAGAATATTCTGAATAGTACAGTACATGTTAACAAAATGTGTATTATTGAAATAATTATTAAATGCAAAATATTAATGAAATCATTATTTAATGATTAATTAATTATAATTTGAATATAATTAATTTATTTTTATGATACAATTTATTATTTAGAATTTTATGATTTAAAATGGTAATTTAAATTTTGATATATAATTATATATAAATTTTTTATATGAATGCTAAATAAATATAATAAGATGTTGTCTAGTCTTGTAACTATGAAATTTGTTTTGGTTATGTATTAATTTTGCTTATTCATGGTTTTAATTTAAAGTATAAAATTACTATTATTTCGTAAATAAAGATTATGGAAATTTGTTGATTGATTTTCTTAGCACAATTTTATGACATTCATGATTGATATTTATTTAAAATGAAGATCGATTAATAGTAACAAAACATTTACTTAATCAAATATAGACCTTGTAGTAGAATAAAAATACAATTTGTATAACAATGTAAATGCAAAAAAAAATGGCACCAATAAGGTCGAATAGATGGTACTTAATAGTTTATTATTTTTGTCGAAGGATGTTTGAAAAATCGTTAAAATCATTAAAATATAATAAAAAATAATTTTAGGACTGGTTATCGGCAGTTTCACTATTGTTATCTATTTGTTATTTGCTATATGTTATTAACATATTGTTATCAAATTTTTTATGATAAATTTGTCTATACATTTGTATTGTGATAAAATTCAACATATATCAGATATGTATAGGGTTTCATTTATTTTATTTATATAAAACTTTTTCTTTTTAGTTATACAGCTCATGTATTATAAATTGTTATTTAAAAAAAAAATGTTCATAATAAAAATAAATTTTTTCCTTTAATTTATATTAATATTCACTTATGTTTATGTTCATTGACGATTAGTTACAGAGAAGTTGCCTTTATTCTGAATTCATCTTCATCTTCATCTTCATCTTCATCTTCAGCTTCATGCCGATAGAGAGCTAAAAGTTGAGATTGTGTAAATAATTTATTACTCTCTAATGTATTATTTTTTATTGACTTTTTTATTTATTTATTTTTTTTTTAAATACTTCTACTTTCTTTTTATGTTTTGTATCTTAAAGATTTTATGAAGATTAGTTAACGGTTCGTTGAAGGTTTTATTTTCACCTAGAAATTGCATTGAATGGAGTCGAGGTGTCTTAGTATTCAAATACGTATTTTTCAATATTAAAAAAAAAAAAAAAAAAACACAATAAATATCGATGCACATAATAATTGCTATAAAATATGGGTAGAAATGAATTCTGAATTTGCCACAATATAATGGTTGGTGCTATTTACATTCTTTCTTTCTTTTGTTAAATCCAATTCTCCTCTCACGATTGTAAATTCTAAGCGTAAAGTTCTTTTACGCACATTGGAAAACAACACCTGGAGCGTACTTTATATTTTTGTCGTTCCAGGTACCTGACATTTATTCCCCATAATCAAACACCTAACGGTACATTTGCAGGTTCGCACATGCTCGCTCTCTATCGCCTTCAGGTATGCTCACATGCTCTCAATCTCTCTCATTCGCAAGTAAACACTAGCGATCATATAATTTTTAGTAAAGTAGACTTATAAATTTTAGGCATATAATACACGAATAGGTTTATGTTCTTTCATTACACAATATTCACTTGTGCAATAAAGCAATAAAATTATTCATAGAGACATTCACAATACGCTCCTCGCAAGCCAAACTAATCAATAGAAATAATAGGCTGCCGTGTCGCTAGGGCATTGCCCAAACAAAGAAAAAGGATTTCGAAAAAACAAAGAAAAAGGATTTTAATAGCTAATGGTCGTCGTTGCAGAGATCGATATCTGGCGGACTGCCAAGCCCTCAATAAACCGCGCAACCTCTTGGACCTCGACGCGCTCATCCACCATATGGAGAAATCCGAGCTCGGTGACCAGCAGCTCGACCCGATCACCCTCTTGAAGTCGAGGCGTCGTATCTTCCTCGTGGCTAACGAGAAGTTGCGTCGAGAGCAGGAGCTACGATCGCAATCTACGAAGGCGCGCTTTCTTGCACGCGACTGCCAACCGAAGCGATGGCTGGACCGCAAAAACAAGTCCATTGAAATGCTGACCTTGAAGAACCAGATCGCACGAGAGTTTATGGATATGTATAATCAGCTGGGTGAAACTGATGAGAATTGCAGGGTGAAGATTCTGCTTAAGGTGAACTTTAGGTTGTCGTTTTTTATCAGTAATTGTTCGTTGGTGAAAGATGCGATATGATCATGATATATTTAGATTGCTAATTACAGTAATTAACATTCATTTATTGAATACTCTACCATGCCAATTTATCGCTACTGTTGAATCGAACGTTTTTTTTGTTTGTTCGTTTAGATTTTCTTTTTTTTTTTTTAAGTCGCTTCAAAGTTAGGATCAAATTAAGAGTGGCTGGATCGTGAATTATACGTACGAGTTGTGAAAATAATAAAGTTGCGTGTTATTTTTACTCGGCTAAGAAGTGCTGCTTTAAAAGCGAAGCGAGCATATCTAAAATTAAAAAAAAAAAATGCTTGGTTTTATTTTGAAAATGATCCTCAGGTCGTATTACTTGAATTAAAAATAATTTGCTACATTCAAAATTATATATAAACTACTTCAGATCGTGTAGTTTTATTCGCGTGTCTTCGTGGTCTCCAGTAGGTTGAGATGAAATATCGTAGGCTTTCTGCAAGCTTTAAAAAAAAATTATATTTAAATTAGTAGTTTAAGGCGCATCCAAAAGTATATAATTTATAATAGTAAAACTGTATTTTTGTCTGATTTTTACATTAGAAATACATTTATGGTGAATTAATGTATTTTTATGTATGAAAAACTTATTGAACAAAGAGATAATTTTTTAAACAATTTTTTGCAGAATAATGGTGTATTAAATGTTTTATATACTCATTCGTATCTAAGTTAATACAATAACGGAATATAATATAATATATGAAGAAGATATTATGTATTAATTATTATGTAAATTCAATGCAATTGTTTTAAAATTTTCATTTTTCAAGTAATTTAGTAATAATTATAATAATACGTAATAGTATTTTCATAAAAATTAAATGCTGTATATAAACTCAATAAGTTGTTTTATTAAATCTTTAACTAACTCATTTGAATACGTGATTTTATATCAAGTGATTTAATTTATTTGCAATTTAAATCAAATACCGTTATGTTTAATGCAAAAGCTATTTTTCGTAATACGAATTGTCGTTGCTGGTAGTACAACATATAAATATATATTAAACAAATTTAAAAGGTTGTATAATTTAATGTCATCAAGAATGTTTTTAGGCTAGATATGCAGTAGAACATCATGACTGTAAAGATGCCAACACGTTTCGAGAATTACTCGATCAAGAAATTATTATGCTTTCTAAAGATGTCGAACAAACTAAATTTAATTACTTAAAGAAACGAATACTTGGTAAGATATACAATTAATTTTTCTTACGATTTCATAATTATATAAAAGTATTTTCGCGATCTGAATTTTCTGGAATTTAAAAAGCGATTACAATATTCATACGGAACAAAGTCAAAATAATATCTTTAGTATATTAATATTTGCTGGTAGAAGCAACATTTCTAACTATTTGATACACTAACAGTTGATTTTAATTTATACCAATACTTTAATTCACAAAAATTCATATATATTTTATCCGCCACTAGAAATAATTGCAAATAATTGTATGATTTATTCCTGTATGATTTTGATGATTATCAAAACACAGTAAATACATAAGAATTATTCATAATAAATTTATAAAAATAATATATTATCATAATTATACAATTATAATGCAGGAGCGTTCTTGCAATTTGTAAAAACATCCCATAATTGTACCTGCACGAGCGTAAAGGGAACTGAAAGCATTAGCTTATACGATTATGAATTTCGTGAACCATTAGAGAAGAAATATATTTTCTGTATAAGCTGCAGAAGACTTCTTCCATGCAGTAAATTTCTTATAACGAATAAAAAGAAGCAAATAAAAAAGTGCAAAGGTAATTCATTAATTACGATTTTATATATTTAGTAATTAATAAATTTATGTCTAAACTCTGCATAGTAGTATAATAATAAATTAGATATAATTTTCCAAGTGATTTAGATATTGTAATACATTGAATGTCGTAAAGTAACGTTAAAGTACAATTTGACTGTACATTTTATTCTAGCGATGCGCATATTTTTGTGGCTTAATCGATATCATAATATTATAATTAATGCGTTGCTGTCTGAGGCTTTGAAAGATCCAGGATAAATTAATTAAAAATGTCGCTGTTTATAATGTTGTCTTGAATTGTATTATCATAAATTTTTGGCGAAATTAGCAAATATGAAAAGGGCGGAGAAAAATGAATAAAAATAAAGATAAGAAGTGCCTTTAGTCACTTCACCGTGCCTTTTGAAGATTAAAAAATTAATTTTCTTCTCTCCACCCTTTTCATATTTACGAATTTTGCTTATTATAGAAACTCGCGCTTTATTTGTCAGTTTAAAGAAGATAAATTTCAAGAAAAGGTCATTTTTATTTGTTTTACTCAGCAGGACTTTTCCGAATTAAATATTCGGAATATATCGCTATGAAACGAATGAAGTTAAGATTAATGTTTTCCTTAATAATGATTGTTAAAATCATTTTTATAATAATAAATTTTAATTTTAATCCAGATATTAAAATATAAATGCCTATTATTATTATTATTATTATTATTATTATTATTATTATTATTATTATTATTGTTATTGTTATTGTTATTGTTATTATTGTTATTGTTATTTTTATTGTTATTCTTCATTTTTATAATTTGAAATTTTCATTCATAAAGATTCATTCTATTTAATATCATGTCAATCTAATTCCTTATGACTACTTAAATACTTAGCAATAGCTTTGTATTGCAATATTAACAATATTGAAGAAGAGGATTATTTATTATAACCGCATGGCATTCTACTACCTAACATCCTCAAATCGCCCCAAATACATTTGACTAACTCGCACAATATACATTTTATCGCAGTGCGTACGTTATTTTCTCATTCGATTGCCAGTAATAAATAGGCAATCCGTTATAAGGGGCGCACGCACCTTAGAAGAGCTAAACATGAACTAAAGATCGCCATTAAGAAAATTGAAAGTAGGCCCAAGAGATAACGAGTCAGGCCCACATTTTAGGTTGCATTCGCCTGTTGCGCAACGTACGCAGCCACGTCGATTTGAGGCCATACGAGAAGTTACTGTCGGAGGTCCGCGAGGCAGAGGGTCCGGGCAGCCTCGCGGGCGTCCTCTCCGTGCTCGACGTCTACCACCTTGTATTCCGTATCTGGCACGGGCACTCGATCTTAAGCGAGGTCTCGGATATGCGCGAGCTGAGCCTGCCGCGGTACGACTCCGAGGCGCCCTGGAGTCCCTGGAACTGCATCCTCCTGACGCGCGAGGAGGCCGACGCTCACCGATGCATTCGTAGTGGGAAAAGCATCTACTCCATCCACCTACGCCGCAAGGTCCGATCGGCTCACCGTACCGCCAACATAGACTTCAGGTTTGGTGCATCGATCCCCCGGCTAACATCCTCTCCTCGTCGCGAATTCGAGCTCGACATTTATATCCGTACGCGCTCGATTCCATGTGGTTTACGAGCTTCGTTTTTAATATGCTTAGGGATAGGATAGCGTATGCATAGTGGTATTATCGACTGCTCGATTGCTGTTGCTTTCTTTTGTTTTATTTATTTAATTATTTTTGTAGATTATACATTATTTAAAGCTCCGTCGGCTTTTTCATCTTTCATCCGCGCGTGCGGCAGATCAAGGGCGACGAATACATCGAGTTTTATAATCGGAGCCTTATTGCGGTACCGTGGCAGATTGGAAAATTGTTTTTTCAACGAGAATTTACGAGTTCTTCAATATTCTTCGATACGAATTTACTAAAAATTCTTGTACCAATCTCGATAGTTCGATATTTTCTTCAGCGATTGTTTGATGACGTGTGATGTTGCATGCAACAATTTGACATACGAAAATATTCCGTATTTCATTATGTTTCGTTGAGTTTCGTAAGTGTTCTTAAAAAGTTACCTGCTATAAGGATGTTATAAGGGATTTTCTTGTCAAACCTTTAAGGCGTCGAATATTAATTAATCTTGACATTTTGCTGATTTATTAAGATTTTCTTAGATCTATTAGTGCTTTAAAATTTTCATAAGATTCAACAAGATTTAGAATTTAACGAGATTAAAAATCAAAAGTAAAATTGAGAATGATAATACTTTAGAAGCAGTTATTTACAATTATTGGCATTACGAACGAGCAATATCCAATCGTTGATTCATTATCAAAGCTGTACATCGATAGTGAAAAATGCCAATGAATCGTTGATTCATTATCAAAGCTGTACATCGATAGTGAAAAATAAAGTGTGATAAGTATCGATAAATAGCTGCTTAATTCTCTTGAATCGTGGTTTTAATAATGTACGCCGTATTTGTAGAACCATCGCCATTCAAGATATATATATATATATATATATATATATATTTAATTGATAAAATGATGGCAATTGAAAGTACTATCTTTGATTTTTATTACGCATTCCAAGGAGTTCACGTTCGAGTATGATTGTTTTTGGCTTATTCTCAAGAATGGCGTACCGAAGCCTCAAGTATATCCGTAAATAGAACTCGTAATAAATAATTATTTTTATGTTTAGCAGTAATATTATGTTCGCTTTAATATTTGCTTTAATATTTAAATGTGCTAATAGGATTGGCATTTCATAGATGTATTATTTTGTCCTATTTTGTAAATATTTTATAGTATGAATAATTTATTGTATGGGCAGCGTATATTTGGAATATTAATGTACAGTGACGAGTACGAGTGCTCGTATTACGAATAAAAAAATATTAAGATGTATGCATACCGAAAGGAGTAATTAAATGAAGTTTTAATTTCAACTGCTCGCAATTAATCAGAGGTATTATTGTCAAGAACAGAAAAAAAAGTGTTTTTGATTGAATGATACTCGTTAATTATTATATGGAATAGTTTTTACTTATTAATATGATGAATTTAAAGGAAAAATTGGAAACATACACTATTCAGTTGAAATAAACGAGCTCAAAACTTTCCCAAGACAGTGGTGGAGAAAATCTATCAGAATCTTATTTTCTACATTTGCATGAATGGGGATATAAAAAAAAGGATCACGATGTTATTTATTTAATTCGAAAGAAATCCATTATTCAGAAAGCTCGTTATCTTCCTATTTACAGTTTTGCTTTTCCCCCCTTTTTTAATGGAGCGCGTCCTATTACATTACTTTTTTCTACATTTCTTGGCTTATGTTAATGAGCGTATCGTCGAATACTGGCACTTCCCTTCATTGATATTACGAGTAAAAAATTTCATAAATAATTCTTTTGCATTATGTTAGAATTCTCCCCGAATTATTAATGAAATAAAAAATAACGAGTTGATCAAGAAATTACAGATATTTCGTTATTTTCACGTTAACATAGTGAATATTAGTCAGTAAATATTTCTTGAATTATTTTCTGTAAATAATAGATAAAATTTAAAAGAAAAAACAATGCACGAAATAAATTATTTATTAGAATAAAGAATACACATTTTACTATTTGATCGAACTTATAATTAAGTATCTTTTAAAGCATTTTTTTCTTAATTCGATGAAGCTTATTAAAAGTATCTTTTAGTATTGAAAATAATATCTAAGAAAAGTTTAAGTAAAGTAACGTGTACTTTTACCCATTAATGTACTTTTAATTGTTTCTTTTCTTCGATGAAAAGGTGGGTGGACAATTAATCGCACGTGTAGGTTATTATTAGTCGTTATAGTAAATCGAATATACGTACTAGTATAGTTTGAGTATAGTTACGTTTCCAATATGGTAGCGCACGACGCTGGATAGAATCAACAACTTTAATGTCATTAACTAATTGTCTTAACTTTGTAGTTATATACATTGAATAAATATTATTAATTCTTAAGCTTACATAAAATTAAAAGTTTTAAAGTCATTAATTACTATTAAAACACGAGAAAATTATCATAAATTGTCATTCAAACTTTTTCATTCCCATTAAAGAATTATTTAAACCAAATAATGATAATAATATTCATCGGATAAATTGAATATTATATTTGATTTCTTATGCGTAATGAATTGCTATGTTCACTTGTATACCGATATCAGTATTTTTAAATATTTTTGCATACAATTTTCACAATTAACGTTTTAATAAAGAAAAACGCTTAGTTAAGCCTGCACTTCACTTTCTGAACAATTAGATCATATATTTTTTTAATTTTTTTTGTAGGCCAAATATTGTTATAAATATTTATTATTTTTAATAAAAAAAAAAAATTATCGCTATTAAAATAATTATCATGTAAATTATACAGAATTTAACGAGTTATAATAAAATGCGTTTTATTTAATCATTATTATGCTTGTTCTATTAAATATTGTTTATTAAATAAATATACAATTCTATTTAATAATCTAATAGAGTAAGGGTTTGAAAAGAACAAAAAAAAAAAAAAACATCATTATACAGTCTCGTTAATTAAAACTTACCAATCCATCGAATATCATACAATTTTTTCTATTATAAAGAAATAGCTGACTTTATCTTTCATAAAATTTTATATTTGGACGAATTTGAAGATTAAGATCTTCGTTGAATAAAAATCTTGAAAATTTCAAAGTTTTATGCTAAAATGGAAAAATACTTCAATCGCTACTCGAGAGACATTGGTGAAATGTACATAATAGGTAAAATAAAAAAAAAAAAATAAAATAAAAATTTTTATCATAAAGCTCAACATCCTGGACGAATAACATATTTGCTATAACGTATGAGGAATTGTGAATGCGGTGACCAGTATTTCCGTAGGATATTATTGAAATTAATCAATGCATAAACATTAGAATATATAGTAAGAGAATATTTATAATATAAAGGATTTTATCACGGATTAAATCTATGAATTAATAATTATAAAAAAATTATTCACAGCATATATGTATAAAATATTATAATATTTTTTGGATATTGAAACATTTATATTTCGTATTTAAAATAATACTAACAAAAGATAAGGTAAATGTAAATAGTATTATTATTATTATTATTATTATTATTATTATTATTATTATTATTATTATTATTATTATTATTATTTTAATTTTATCATTTCGTTATAAAAGAATTTTTATAATCAAGGATTTAAATAGCACAATAAAATAGTTGAGAGAATATTATTTCTTTGTCATGCACAAGCGTATTATTATATTATGCTTACATTGTAAAAGGGCAACTTTGTTTTGTATTTTAATCATTTTTCATGTTCAGTAAAGTGAATTTCCATTGCCGTTTAAATATATTTTAATTGTTTATTATGTAGATAAACAATAGCCGTAAGAGATTAATAATGATGAGGAATTATCAATTTATTACTAATTTTATTCACTTTCAAAATTTTAAAGTATACGAACAATTATCGTTGTAATCTTTCTTATTACTTCATATATTAATTAATACATAATATATCGACAAATTAAGCAATATATTAATTGTCTTCTTTTATAAAATTACTTCATTCATTTGATAATAGATTTGATAATAATACTATAATAATAGTTAAGAAAATGATTTCAATAGATACGTAATTACCATTTTATAAATTATTATTATTATTAAATAAATATAGAAATATCGTTAATGTAGTTGATGGAGAAAAGCTTAATTATACAACTTAGATTAAATGCTCTGTACTTTATTAATATCGACGATTTTATCATTATTGTAATTTCAATTTGATTAATAATGTCAATTAAACGCGTCTTTAGCTTTTAAACACAGGCTTACAAATATATTTTGATTATAACTAACTAAAACGAATTTGTTACTTAATTTTTAATTACGGAAAATTGTAACTCTCTAGAAATCTTACCTTACAAGATAACGAACGAAGGCATTTACTTTCTTTATTATGGCGTTTATTATATTCCTAGTTTTCACTAATTAAATTAAATTAAATTCGAATTTAGATTAGTTTATCGAATAAAAATATTAGCTAATTGAAAAATGATTGAAATATTTTACAAATGTATCAACATGACGATCAACTTTACTGAATTTACGTACTTATTAATAAACATAATAGCATTATGTAACAGTATGTAACTTTGAAATTGCCTAAAGTATTCATAATAATCTTTTAGAATATTTATATTTTATATTTCATATTATATTAGAATTCTCATTTGGAATTGAGAAGCAGACAATTTAAAAAGTCATTGAACATTATTTAGGGAGGCAAGAACGTATGTGGAAATATTAAACAACGCGAAAATTTTTATTTCGTTGATTATTCATGGAAGATGTTGATTTTAATACGGTAAATGATTGTCTTTAAAATGTAAATTGTTTTTTGAATATATTGAATGACACTCAATATAAAATAATAAGAATATATATATATATATATATATATATATTTTTTTTTTTG